GTATCCTGGTCCTCCAGCGGTGTTATATCCTGGTCCTCCAGGGGTGTTATATCCTGGTCCTTCAGGGGTGTTATATCCTGGTCATTCAGGGGTGCTTACCTGCATGTTGTACTAGTTCCCCTGCTCCAACGCCCCTGATTCATTAACTGATTTACAGTAGTTCCTCGATTATTGTGGGGGTTATGTTCCAGACACACCATGATAGGTAAAAAACCACGAAGTAGGAACACTATATTAATTTTAGTATTTATTTATATTGTGAGGCTTTTTGAACCTTTCCCACACTTTTGCAATGCTCTTAACTCTTAAACCTACATAATTATAACAACATACATATATGTACTGTGCAGTACTGCAAAATTGTATATGGGTACTTACCAGCTCTGCATACCAGCAACTCAGTTCTGGTCAGACCGGTTCTGGTTCTGCAGACCTACCCTGCAAAGATGAAGCCCACCGCCCCATCCAGGTTGATGTGCGTGTGGATAATTGAGCTTCAGGAAGCTTCAGGATTATTGGCAACTTTCCCATGAGCTCAATAGATAGCTTAGATTTGTGTTGCAAAACTTTCCCTTCATTTCAGCGGAAAGCAACAGCCGGAAGCACTGTTGGCTTCTGGGTAATGTAGTTCTTTTGACATGTTACAATATAGGTTTATTGAAAGAAAACTATAAAATGGCGACACCAGTCCCAAGTTTTTTTTTCGTTAATTTTTATTCCGTACTGTCCCATCACATGAGTAATATTAAAGTTGAAAAACCACGAAAGTCGAACCACAAAGTAGCGAGGGACTACTGTACTTCTTTAATTTCAGCAGAAACTTGTTAATCACTCATATCAGGTGAGTTGGCGTAGAAAACCCTCTAAAACATGCAGGAAAGTGACTTTCACAGACCAGAATTGGACACCCCTGATGTTGGAGCTGAAGAGACTAGTCGCTAGAAGTTTGTGAGAGAACTTAGTCCCCTTCTGGTCTGATGGAAGATTCTAGCTGTTCTACAGTCCCGGATCTATTTTATTGAATTTTGATTCATGATGCTGTCGCACTCAGCGGCCCCCGCTGCCCCCCCATCTGCCTAAGCCTCTGCTTCTCATATCTCAGCCCCTGTTTTAAGATCATTCACGTTTTTTCCTACCTCAGTTTCTGTTTATTTCATCCTGTTTGGTCCTGCACTGCCTATCACCCATTTTCTGCTCCTGTCACTCTCTCTCAGCAATCTGCACTCATCTGCTGCACCCTGTCTCTGCAATCACCACTCACCTGCCACACCTGTTCAGCTCACTACTTAAGCTCCACTCTCACTCTCCTCAGTGCCAGATTATTGAAAGCCTCACAGCCAGTAAATTATCCAGCATTCGCTTGTTCCTAGTTTCTTTGTTTTTGACCACAGCTTCCCTCTTGACTCCTCGCTTTGTCTTTGCCCCTGTCTGGATACCACGTTCTCGGCCTGCATGGTACAACCTCGCTCTCCTCTTCGACCACGACTACGGATCATCCTTTTGCCTGTTCACACAGCTCCTGGCTCTCGACCCCTGCTACGTCCCTGGATTCTGTTTCCTGCCCAGCCCTCCAACGTTCTCTGTCTCAGCCCTGCTCCTGCCACAGAAGGTTAGTGACGTGCACACCACCTCTCAGCTCCCAGAACCTTTTTGCAGTCACTAACCTGTCTGTCTTCATAGATTGGACCAGAACTGAGGCTCGGATCCTCCCCAGACAAACGCCTTTAATAAATAAAACCTTTTGTTTTAATGTCCTGAGTCAGGTCTTGTGCTGATCCATACAGACTCGTTACAGATGCATCAATGTTTTTCTATTGGTGACAGATCTGGACTGCAGGTCACTTCAGCACCCGGGTTCTTCTGCTACAAGGCCATGCTGCTGTGATGGATGCAGGTTGTGGTTCAGCAGGTCTTGCTGAGGTCTTTTCTGAAAAACATGTAATCTAAAATCTAAAACCTGTAGCTGTTTTCTGCATTGATGGAAATTTTTCCAAATGTGTAAGCTGCCCATGCCAGAGGCACTAATGCATTCCCATACCATCAGCGAAGCAGACTTTTAAACTGCATCGACAATAATCTGGATGGTTCCTCTCTTCTTTAATATGGAGGACAAGGCATCATTGGTTTGCAAACAGAATTTCAGATTTGGATCCATCTGACCACAGAACAGTTCTGGGCTTTGCCTCAGTTCATTTGAAATTAGCTCTGGTCCAGAGAAGACAACAGTGTTTTAGACTGGTGTTCACATAAGGCTTCTTTTTTGCATGATAGAGCTTTAAGCAGCATCTGTGCATGGCATGGAGAACTGTGTTCACAGAATGATTTGTGGACGTGTTCCTAAGCCCATGCAGTGACGTCTGCTGCTCAGTGTCCTGGAAGAGGTTTCAGCAAAGCTCTAACTCCAAGCAAGCATCATTGAACCAGTGAACCCATCTGAGTCCTTTAGTGGTGGCAACAAAATAATGCAAAGGAGGCTTGCAGCTTTCTTGATCTCTTTTCATCCACGCCAATGGCTGATAAGGTCCTACAGAAAACCACTACTGAGAGTTGTTCCTGCTAAAGAGCTTCTACAAGCTGCTGGATCGCGGGCTGGAACCAGTTTTTCCACTGGACCTTATTAAGTCAGTTCATCAATAGCCTGTGTATTAATCCTTTGGGTCATTTCAAGATGTCATTCTGTCCTGTGGTTAATACAAACACCCACAGACAACAGATGACAGAACTTCGTGGACTTTGTCACTTTGGGAAAAGTTTTTTGGGTTCTCAGAATCAGAAGAATCAGAATAAGCTTTATTATCATTTCACTGTAATACAGTACAGTGAAATTATGTACGTACAGTCATCAGAAAGATGGGCGGAGTGCACGTTGCTGCTGCTCGTAAGAACGTGGCCCTTATTCTTTAGATAGGAAAAGGTGAAAAGGCCATGAGAAGAGGATAGTGGTATTACAAAAAAGATCTCTTCACACCTTGTCCTTATCAGGACATGATTTAAGACACCAAAAAATTCTACCAGCAAGCACATTTAAAAACACATTACATATGCATTTGACGTCAAGACGGTGAGATTTGTCAATGAAGCACTTCCAGATAGCATCATAGTCCTGATAATCATCACCATCACAGACACCTACATCTCCAGATGAAGGCAGAGGGCCACCTGCATCATGAAGGACCCCACTCACCCAGCATACATGCTTTTTTTGCCCCGCTCTCTTCAGGCAGGAGGTTAAGGAGCATTAAGTGTAGAACCACTAGACTGAGGAACAGCTTCTACCCTGAGGCTGTTAGACTCATGAATATCTAACCAGAAAAATCACTGTGAAAAAAAATCACATGTTGCTGCTGATCTGTTTCATGTTGCTGTGTTCATGCATGCTCATCTGCTCACACAGACTCATGTTCAAGCAGCTGTTCAACGTATTTTTTACTAGTCCTTAGTGTATTTTTAGTTAACGTTTCTCTTAGTTCGTATCTTAGATATTATCACTGTTTGTCTTTTACATTTTATACTTTTGTTGGATGTAACTGTGACCCTGTGTACACAATTTTGTTCCACCTCATGTACCACATATGGTGCATGTGACAAATAAAGAACCTTGGATCCTTGAATAAGATGTTGGTGTCAGCCGGTACAACTCTGATAAGCGTTCACAGAAGTTCTCGGGGGCTGGGTGTTTGCAGATAGAGCAGAGCCTTTCTTAGTTGACACATATCCCAGGAGAAATTTAATAAGTCGGCCTGCTTCGAGACCAACCGGGGGAGTCAGATTCAGATAAGCCACAATTGTTGATTTTTTTCAGGCAGACTGTTATTTCTTGTCAGCCTTGAGTTCTGCTGGTACTTTTGATCCAAAATGGACAGATTTGTGGGCATTCCACTGGTCCGTGCTTATTAGCTCCCTCCAAGGTCGTCCCCAACATGCTGACACGTCCCAGAAACCGCAAGTGGCCTGCGATTCTCACAAATCACTTTCATCTTACAGTTGAGTTTGTAAATCAGCTGATTCTGAATGTTCAAAGCACGGACCAAACCTTCACACAGACTCGGCAGCTTTGCCATGGCCGACACTGCTGCCACCATCTTCTTTAATGGCCGATAACATGAGTATCTGACGGTGCCAAAGAGCAGAAACCCTGCCATCATGATTCCAATTATATAAACATCTTCAGCGTCCTTTGGAGACAATACGGAAAGGCACATCAACTTCCACTCTCCCCATGGATCCATGGCGTACCCTGCCACATGCGTTTCAGCGTGGCATAAGGGCTCTCCAGGACCCTGTCGCTTGGTTAAAAAATTTTTATCAATTGCGTTGAAAGTCCAGTTGACTAGATCCATGACACTAGTTTACGATTCAGAAGATGTGTAAATAGAAGCTCCGATACACAAGACAGAAAGCAAAGAAGCAGGAGGGAGAAGGGAGAGGGAAGAAAAGCATCCATCTTGCTCGAGAGCAAGTGAGAAAAACTGTCCAGAGTTATTTTCACATTCACTTTAAGTCAATTCTTCTGGGCATAATGGTAACCCAGTCCAAGGATGTCTCCAGTTTCTCTGGGCCTAATGTCCTTGATGGTTTTGGACATGAATCAGGGTTTTTTGATGGTTCTGGGCTTGAATCAGGGTTTTGTGATGTTTTTAAAACCACTTTCTGCTCACATTCCAAAGGCTGAAGAAGACAATGGGGGGGGGGGGGGGGGGGGTGTCTGGATTGTTCCATCTGTGGTCCTGATCCTGTACCGTTTGGACACCTTAAGACAAAATAAGATCTAAAACTCTTCATCACTCAGTCCCCTCGTCATCAGAACTTCTTTAGGTATTGGGAGGAAAACTGGGAATGTTCCAGCATGAGAAAACCTGGACCTGGAACCACTGCAGCCTGAACTGGAAGGAACTGAAAGGAAACTTCTGTCTGACAAAAACTAAAACTCAGAGGCAGAACCATTGAGCTACAGCATTGCTCTGTGGAGGTTCTGAGCAGAAAGTAAAGCAGAAGCTCACCTGGTGGGACAGGTAGAAGGCAGCGATGCCGAGAGGCCAGAAGCAGCAGAGCATGGAGAAGACGCTGAGGCCGAGGTGATCTCTGGGAGGTAACAACAGGAAGGCGTCCTCGCTCTCAGATTCACTGGAGTAATCGCTCTGATCAAACACACAGGTCAGCTTATTGATCAGCTATCAGTGAGAAGAACTTCTTGGAAAATATCTGAATAATGAGCTGGTGTCATAAAAAAAAACTCATGTCCGTCTGCATAATCCAACTTTACTGTTTCTGTAAGACATTTTTCAAAATAATATCAGTTTTTATAATTTTGTAGATGAAACTGAGGTTTTGGCTACAGAGGAGGAAAAACCAAAAAGGAGGCAGCTGAACATGACAGACTGTCGCTTCAAAAAATCATTTGAGAAAACTAAACTTTAAAGCAAAATAAAGAGAAAAAATATCAACCATTTATATAACAATGCCATTTATGTAGGAAAAATGCATTTATGCCACTGAAAAAGCTATTTTTCAGCTAACTGGCTTCCAGTGACTAATTACTTACAGAGTCCTCTAAAGCATATTATTATTATTATTATTATTATTATTATTATTATTATTATTATTA